TTGTTGTTGATTTGTTATGATTTTTTGATATTGTTTGGATCATGTGTTGGTTAGTTCATATATATATTTTTCGCTTCATCAATTGATATGGTTTTTTGTTTTGATCAATTGATATGTTTAGAAATTAGAAGTATGGAATGATATTGCAAGCGAAAATCATCATCAATTAGTTTGGATAGTCCTATTTCAAATAGTTCAACTCCAAGTTTGGATAGTTTCGATCTTATTCTGAATAGTACAACTCCAATTTTGGATGGTTCATCATCGATCTATTTTTTCTTGTTTTGACTGAAACAATCATGATATGTTTTCAGATTATGAAATCTCGTCGTGGCCATATTTAGTCTTTGTAGTTTGTACAAAAATTAAGAATGAAAAGTTAGTAGTTTATTGTTTAATTTTCAATGTTATTTTCGTCTTCATATTTTTTTTAGACTTTTTGGAACCACCCTACAGTAGAATTCTATATCTACAAGGAGGCTACTATAAAATATGAGCGTTTTCTGTATTATTAATCTTGCGGTTCGTCCAATATGAATATAATTGTAATAATTGATTAGAAAACGGTTGCATGTGTAAAGCCTGATAAAGTTAAGACTTGTCTATTTTTCAAACATAAACATCATGTAGTTCATGCAGCCATATGCATACGGTCGGAGGTCAAAAAGGTGAAGCACTACAGCTTGGAGTGTGACTGCGAACTCGTTTAGCATATAAAATAATTTACACGACGAAAGCATGCAGGTATTTCAACCATTATATGGTCGGTTTCACTGCCATATTGTATTTCTGTCATCAACTGGTTTCTTTCAAGCAGTTACCCAATGTTGTGGTGCTCGTTCTTCTCACTCATGACTAGTTTGGAATTGTTGTGTTTTGAAAAAAAACACTACATTTATTGTGCTGTGAAAATAAGCAGCTGTGAAATGAAGCAGCAGAATGTTTAGTAAACATTTTTGTAAAAGCACTTTTGAAAAAAAAAAAAAAGCAATGGTATAATGTTTGGTAAATTTTGATGAAAACAACTGTAACTGTGTAAAATGACCAAAAAAGCATAATACTAAATATGCTATTAATTTAAGGGATGTGATATCCATACACCCATTTTTACTTCTCTCACACCTTTTTAATTTTCGGCCGTCAGATCGGATGAATTGAAGAAGATCAAAGGACAAAAATTAACAAGAAGTGTGAGAGAAGTAAAAAGGGGTGTGTGGATAGCACACCCCTAATTTAATTGTTTGATCAATAAAGGCCAATTATTTAATATACTTTGTTCTTTTGGTTTTCGACCCAACCTTAATTCATAACAGGATGTTTGGAATTTCACAAGTCATCATTTAATCATGTATGTTCCCGCAGCAATTTGTATGAAGATTTGTAAAAAGGAAATCGAAAGGAAAGTAAATTGCAGTAGATAAGTAAACAAGGTGCAATACTTTAGGAGAAAGACACATCATTGCGATTTGTATTAGTATGTGCAATCATCATTTCTTGTCAGAAAACTATACATACATAATTTTATTTGTATCAAATGTTTCTCCAATCATCATTTCTTCTTATCAGAAAACTATACATACATAATCATATTTGTATCAAATGTTTCTTTGCATCGTATCTTACATGAACAACATTTTGACACAAATAATTGTATCTGCTCAACACCAAATTGTGTATCTGCTGGACTGCTAGGGTGCAAACATTTCCAATAGCACGATGCTTGCCCATGACTCCATATATACCAATCTCCGAGTGGGACTTCAAACTTCGTATTTAGGGCTGACGGAGAAGAGGAGCGAAATTACTCCTCCTTTTTATTTCAAAGTTTGGCAATGAGACTCGCAAACGATTGCTTCGAAGAGAAGGCTGAAGGAGGAGAAGGAGAAAACACATAGTTGTTCATGAATCACGACCTGGAGGCGCTCTGTGCTCTCCACGATGGATGCTCTCTGTCCAACTAATTTCAGATTTAAACAACACTGTTCACCCACCTCTCGATGAAGAAAAGCCGATTTTTTTTATGCTTATTTTTTGCTGCTTTGGGTTTTTAGTTTTTTTTTACTTAAAACTTAAAAAAATAGCTGCTTACAAGATGTTTTCAAAACAAAAAAAATTCCCAAACTTTTCTTTTATCGATGCTTTTTAAAAAAGTTAAGATGTACCAAATTGGTACTCAATGTCTCGGTTAGACACATCGCTAGGCGGTCGGTGGTGCTAAACCTACGAGTCGCTTGCACAGTTGCTTGCGTGCATGTATAGTATGCTCATTTAACGAGTTTGTTGATTAATATTGACCAAAGACCTAGCTAGCTGCAGACTGTTCACATTCTTAATTATTGTAATTTTGTGATTTTTATAATTTGACTAGAGTAAGGTTTGACTTTGCACTGTTGAATTCCAATTAATTGGCAAATAAACCAGTAAATTAACACGATCAAGTAGTTGCATGTCCATGCAAAAGGGTCAATGAGTCATTGAGTTTGGCCAATTCAGAGGCATTACGGGGAATAAATGTTGGGCAGACCAAGCAATATATATATTTTTTATTTTGAAAGAAAAGGGGCAAGACAAGCCATGGTTATTCACTTATTCCGGACCCGAATAAACTATGTTGAAACCCTCCATTGAATTTGACCAAATATATATATATATATATATTTGAAATGCAGTTGATGGCAAACCACGGTTATCCACTCATTTCGGACCCAAAGCTATGTTGAAACCCTCTATTGAATTTGACCAAATATTATGGTATATGAATTTGACCATCTTAACCTTCATTTCACTTCACGTAGCCCTAGTACTTTTATGACCTTGGAGGCTTTGGAGAAATTTCTCAACCATTTTTCCATTGAAGCTTATATAGTATGGATACATTATTACTGTCGTGTTTTCTGTCAATAATACAATGGGAAGTGAAAAAAAAAAAACTGTCATTGTATCATTGATATGTGTTATTATACCATTAATATGAGATATTAATGTCATGTTTTAATTGTGTTATACAAGTCTCATTTCAGCGTCGGACCATCTTAATTAAAATGTCAGGTCAATTCTCAATTGCTAGTCTTAAGTGGTGGGAACATCAAGCCGCGTACTCCATTTGATAAATGAAAGAATGCACGCACGACCAGTCAAATGCTGGAATGCTGCTTCATTTGACATCCAACGGTGTTGAACCATCCTATATTCCACTAGCATATGGCGGCTGATACAGTAACCTCTCTTGTATGTTTCATTTTTTTATTTTTGTTTAATTTTGAGTAACAATCTTATTATATGTTTAATTTTCTTCTCATTAAATGAATAATAAACTAGCCTCATTCTATCTACCACAACAAATGATTAGTGTTCCCAACTAAACCCCAAACAATGAAAATTAGTGTTTCTAATCTAATTAAAAAAATTGTTTTATATCCCTTGTCACCTTGTCGGTGGCATTTTCCCCTAAATAATTAGGGTACCGTATTACTTCTCCGAGAAGTAGAAGTAATTGGAGTATTACTTCTCTGAGAAGTGAGAAAACTTCTACTGTTTATGTTTAATCTGAATTTCATGACTAATAAAAAATACTTAATCGCTCTTTAATATTACGGTATAATAATATTCTTTACTTGTAAGTGAGAGATCTTAGGTTCAATTCTCGCTAAAGGTGAATTTGAACCACATTATTACTAGGTCATTGTGAAACTAAGCCGACCTCTTCCTCTTAATATAGATAATATCATTTATTAAAAAAAACAATTAATCATGAACTCAAAATAAAGTCACATAACAATAAAAATAAAAATAACCATGATATTATTTTAAAAAGGAGTTGTTATTAACACTTTAAAAAAAGCATAATACCTCAAATACTATTTTTTTAAGTTAATAGCTCATCATTTTTGTTTTATTAATGATAAATTTTGTTATTTAAGGATATTTTACATGGGGTGTAAAACTAAATTTTTATTAAACTCATTATCTACGACTAGAACTTCTCACTTACTAGTGAAAAGAATACCACTGTAAGAGCTAGTAAGAGTTTCAATAAACATTAACTTAAGCAAACCAGCAACCGATACAATCATCATCTAGAAAAGCATTTTGAATGAAATCAGAACTTCTACCAAAGATTATTACGCAATAGAATCGAAGATGGAATCTATTAATCAAATATTCAGACAATAACTATAATTTCTTAGATAAGGGCCTAAACTAACTAGAGTAGATTTTTTTTTCCTTAAAAAACGGAAACAATTAGTGGCAAATTACAGTTATCCACCAATTTTCAACTTAAACATTTAAAATATAATAGATATAACTTAAGTTGATTAGAGCATCATGCACTTCACTTTGAATTTTTATTTTATACATAATTAAGTGAGTTAGAGCATTACGCAATCACCTACTTTGCACTCAAGTACGAGTTTTCATTTTCATTATTCATATGAGTTAGTGAATTTGATCCCCCCCCAAAAAAATGAGCTAGTGAAAAACTTTTAGGCTTTTTAGCCAAAATGATCTTTGAAATTGACATAACTCTTCACTTTGGTTTATGAGATTTGAGATCAATAGAAGTAGCTTTTGAGTTTGCTCACTATCAATCATTTTAGTTGTTCGGTGGAAAAATCTGTTAAATAAAGACCAAAATGACAAAAATATCCTCAAGTTAATAAACAATGAACCAAAATAATTCAACAAAATTTGAAGGTATTTTTGTCGTTTTATCTTGTTTTACAAAATGATCAAAATAATTGATAATAGACAAACTTAATGATCTCTTCTATTGATTTCAAATCTCAAAGACTTTTCCACGAATGAAAAAAAGAATAAAACCAATCAAATCAAACATATGTTTTATATTGGCCAACATTTTACATAGTAAAAGAGAGAAAAAGGAAATCTATAAAAGTCCAAGTCAGAGAACGTGAAAAAGGGCAAACGCGGCCACCATAGAAAGAGCCAAACCATTACCATGGTATAAAAAGAGGACCAAATCACCAATTCAACTCATCATCCCAAGATCCATTCATAAATTCTACACCCACAGATTTCTGAGATTTTCTCAGAAAATTCACATTCACTCAATAACTCATTCACTTTTTCTCATCTTTTTTTTTTTTTTTTTTATCAAAAATTATATAATAATTAGGGAACCAAAAAAGTAAAAAAACTGAACACTTAAGTTGAAGCCATTGGCCAAAAACAAAGGGCAATACTTGCAATAGCAGCACAAGAAAACAACAAAGACCCTGCTCTGCGAGCCTGTGGTAATCTCCCCAAAGCATCTCTATACCGCTTATCTCAGAAATCTTATCCAAAGCTCTCACCTTTCCTCTGTCTTCTTCCTCCTCTCTCTCTGCAAATAAACCATATCTATATCCCTTCATTCTCTGCTTCCTCCTCCTCCTCTCCCTTTTTTTTGGTTTTTTCTCTCTGTATTTATATATCTAATAAGTAATATCCCCCTTCTCTCTCTCTTGGGTCAGGGTTTTGCTATCTTCTTATCTCCTTCCTCTCTGAAACCCTTGAGTAATCGCTGTGCTTATTGCATACCAGTATCCGATTCAATCGAGGGTTTTTCTCTTTTTTTTTTTACGGTTTTTTAACTTCTGGGGTTTTTTGGGTTTTTTCTTTTCTGCTCGACGATGGCGTTGGCGTCGGCTTTTCTGGAAATTCTTAGACGACCCACGATTGTGGAGGTGCTCGGTGAGTTGATGATGTTCATAACCCCTCTGTGGATTGCTGTGGTTGTTGGTGTTTTTGTTGGGTGGGCGTGGAAGCCCAAATGGGCGAACTTGGTTGGCCGAGAGCTGTTGGATAGCCCAATCACAAAACAAAAAGAATCCTCCTCTTCCTCGTCGTCCTCGCAGAGTTCGTCCACGTGTATCGGTTTGATTCCGGGGCTGAGCTCGTTGAAGTTTCAGCTGCCCAGTTGCATTCCATGGCCTGCCGACGAAAGGAATCCGAAAGAGGCGCTTTCTTTGCCACCTACCACCAATCCTGATTTCAGGTTTGTTGACTTTCTTGAGTGTTTTGGCTAATTTTACAACTTGGGTTTGCTTTAATTTTTCGAGTTTTGGTGTTTAATGTGTTCAATTTCGCAACTTTGATTAGTGTTTAATGTGTTAAATTGGGGATTTTTGTCAGTTTAACTTGTACGACTTAAGGTCTTTGGCTTAATTAGTGAATGTTATGATATGGCATGGCAGCTCCTCAAAGATTGAAAGAGAAAGTTCCGGTCATGTGAACAATGAGGATTTACGGCACATATGCCAGCTTGTTGAGGAGAAAGATGGAGGGCCTGCTTGGATTCATATGATGGATCGGTCTACCCCAACTATGCGCTATCAAGCTTGGCGAAGAGACCCCGAGGTAGCTATTTTACATTTCGTTGTATTCGATCCTCGATTATTTTTTCAATAGAAATATTGGTGGCTCTCAGATGCATAACCGTGTTTTGCTCACGTGTATTATGTTGGTGAGGTTAACTAACTGGATTTCATCTATATGTTCTAGACTGGACCTCCGCAATACCGCAGTAGTACTATATATGAGGACTGTACACCTGAGTTACTGAGGGATTTCTTTTGGGATGATGAGTTTCGAGTGAAGTGGGATGACATGCTTGTACATGCATCTACTTTGGAAGAATGTCCAACCACCGGAGCCATGTTGGTGCACTGGGTGCGCAAGGTAAGAACAATGATACTTTGTCTCCTTTGATTCTTGAGTTGTCGTTGCTGCATTGGCTTATTACTTAAATTGTTTCTTTGTTTTGGACACAGTTCCCATTCTTTTGTAGCGACAGAGAATACTTGATAGGTCGTCGCATTTGGGAAGCAGGACGGACATACTACTGCGTAACGAAGGTATGTAAACCGGAAGATCTAGCTATCTATATAAACCTCTCAGTTCAATGCACTATCTAGTCTAGTCACATATACAAGCCGCTGTAACCTATTATGCAGAAGAAAATTAATGTCAAAAGGATTCCTTTAGGGTCCAAATTTCATTATTTTTCTTGACAAGGCTGGGTGTCCTGTGTGAAATAATGACAGTTAATGCACTAGTTTTGGTTATATTTAGTATGTTAAAAGATTGTAGCTGTGAATAGTTGAAGTGCTAAGCTATTTGTAGTTTTCCGGTCAATGCATATTTAGTAATTTCTAACTCTAAATATTTTGTTGGTATATAATTTAGGGATTTGAACATTTGAAGGTACTGGTCGGTTTATTGTACTGAGTTCATATCTAAAGTAATTTGAATTCCTTCTGTGTGCTAATAAGTGGAGAGTCCTAAATGAAACTAGTTTTTTCGAGTTATTCTCCAGATTGTACATATTTGTAACTGTTGCAAGAATTCGTTTTGAGCTGATTGTGCGTAGTTTGGGAATAAAATAAGCGGTAGTGCTCGTCATGTAGAACGGTTCTGTTTTCAAGGTTATTAACTCGTGATGCGTAACCTAATGGTGTGATTTAACATGTTTCAGGGAGTACCCTCCTCTGCTGTACCAAGGCGTGACAAACCTAGACGTGTTGACTTGTACTATTCAAGTTGGTGCATTCGAGCAGGTAACGGAAGTCTTATAACATCTTAATGCTTTCTGAAATGAGAAACAAATCTGTCAATCTTCCTAAATGAAAGATATCTTTCTTTATTTACCTATTAAAAAATGGGATATCTCTTTGTTATGGTGTGCAATTGGCAGATTAATTTTTATTGATTCAAACTTTGAAAGTTCATATTGCTTTCTTTTTGTAATTGTGCTCTTGGGAACCATCACTAAGACTTGTATTGGTTGGGTATGAACCAGTTGAATCAAAGAGAGGGGATGGCCAGCTTACTGCATGTGAAATTTTACTCTATCATCACGAAGATATGGGTATCCCTTGGGAACTTGCAAAACTTGGAGTCCGGCAAGGTATGTGGGGAGCTGTTAAAAAGATCGAACCTGGCTTGCGTGCATATCAGAAGGAGAGAGCCTCTGAAGCCCCACTTTCACGGTGTGCTTACATGGCTCAGATCAACACCAAAGTCAGTGCAGACTACTTGAGATCTGTTGAAAACAGCACCGGCGATTCCATGGTGGTTGAAAAGTCAGATAAGTTGGATTCATCGGACAAACCAGAAGGGAAGAGCATACCTAAGCTTCTAGTTGTCGGTGGGGCTATTGCCCTTGCCTGTAGTCTTGACCGAGGGCTCTTAACAAAGGCAGTCATATTCGGAGTAGCCCGAAGATTTGCCAAAATTGGTAGGAGGTTCTGATTCCAGAGACGCCTGTTAATGCCGTTGTCAAGTGAAGTGAGGAACTGCCAAACGGTGGATCTCCACGCTTTGCCCCATTTCAAGAGGATTCCATTGGAGGTCTTATTCTTTGTCCTTTTTGTTTGAGCCATGAATACAACTTAATTGTAGAGGACCAGCCAGAGAGAGAAGTAAAAGAAATGTCTGGGAAGAAAGGAGAGTGATTGTATAGCCGTATTCGTTAAAGTTGGAAATGTGATTAAAGGATGTCTTGTGCTACAAGAATAACAGTAACCTTCAGCTTCTTTTGATGTTACATTTTCATTCTTTCAGTTCTAACGATCTTGAATTGCTTCATGCTTTCTTTGCATACAAACTTCAGAAACAATTGAACTTGACAGGGTTATGAAAAACCCAAGAAGGTTAATCTGAGATTGACTTCATGGAAAAACAAGAAATCAATCACAAGCTGCCACATGTCTACACTGGTTGGAGCGTGAACCGTGTAAAGTTAGTGGTCTTTGGTGCAACGGGAAATTTCGGGGATAAAAAAATGTGTGGAATTGTAAGCGCACGTGGTCCAGCAGTGAAGCACCCCAAAAAGTCATGGAAGTTTGAGGTCGCACTTCACACAATCACAGCCACCTCTGACCTCACAAAGTTGGCTGAATCCTTTTTTTCTTTTTACGGATCTGTGTTCTAATTAATACTGTCAAAGCAATCGATTATTGAGCAATTGGCCCCCTTCATCTAGGTTTCTATCTTAGTGGTCCTAGCGTCCTAGAACGGTAAAAAACTTACTTGTGTTCCGACGTCACGTGATGAGTGATATAGAAGCATAGACATCATTCTGTATCCAATTCGTGGAAGGGGTGTTCGTCTAGAGGAATATCCAGTGAGGAGGTTCTCTGGCTAACGAGCACACAGCTCCCCGAGAGGTTGGTGCCGGTTGATATCGTCTGTCGGGCTTCTGCTTATTGGCGGGCTGTAAGAGAAGGACAAAGTTAATTCTGAAATGTGCCTTTGTGGGGCCTTAGGTGTAGGCTTTGAGGCTCACAATCAAAATTAACTTTAAGAATTCAGGCGTGCCACTGTCGTCTTTAGCATGACAGATGTAAAACCGATGTTAAGTTTTATGGTGTATATATATATATATATATATATATATATATGCCCGAGCGACCCAGTTAGTTATGAAAGGTGCCTTTGTGGGGACTTAGGTGTAGGTCTTGAGGCTTCCCGTCAAAACTAACCGAATACTTGAACACATCTTGGTTGTTTCATTATTGCGTACGTATCACTCCCGTTATACGTTAATTACCCGAGCCCGCAGAGCAGAATGAAGTCAAATAGGTGCCTTTGTCAGGCCTTAGGTATAGGCCTTGAGGCTTCCTATCAAAGTTAATTCTATACTCAAGCATTCTGTGGGAATTATGATATAACAGAAGTAAAACTAGAGAATAAGCCAATTACTTGCGCCCCAAGTAACTTCAGACTTCTGATGATCAAAGATTGTCGTGGATGGGTTAAGTTCACATAAAGTTCTTTTTATGCCTTGAGATCAAGGACTTTTAAGTGGTCAATCTTGTTTGCCCGAATGATTAGAACTTAGAAGTCTTTTAATCATAAACTGGCTAGCAATAACTTGGATGCAGATGAAAACATACATCATAGTACTAGGTCTATGAATGAAAGACAACAACAAAGGAGGTCGGGCAAGGTTTCACCTTGTCGGGCAAGGCTGATCATCTTGCAACTTCCCCTCTTTGTGATTTACAAAGTGTTCGAATGCTAGAAAGGGAGATTGAAAGATGAATCTATATGAGGTGATCGATACTACAACAAGATTTAAACAAGGTAGCAGAGCTTTTACAAAGGATTTCTGGTGAAGGTTGATCCCAAAAGGGATGAAGATTGGGGGCTGACTACAGCTTCGTGAAGGCAAATCTGGTTTGAGCAGAGTTTGTGCTTGTATTTGTTTGGTTGATTGAGTGTCCTTGTCTCTGATTTTTCTTCCTCATTTTATAAACGATTTGGCTTGGCTGTCTGCAGTGTTGATTTTGCCCGAATGTATCTGAAGGGTAATGACTCATCAACTTTTTACTTGTACTGCCATTGTAAAGTACTTTTGGGCTGATTAGCTGGCTGGTCTACATCACTTGACCCCTAGGTAGGTGAGCAGGTAGTTTAAATGAGCTGCACCTGGTCGGGAAACAAGCCCTTTTTTGCTTCTGGACTTCGGTTGGACCTTGGACTTTTCCTTCTTCTGAACCTCCTTTTGGGCTTTCTTTTGGGCTAACCTCTTCTTAACCCAAAGTTCAAGTTTTATCCCAAACAGTGCCCCCTTCAATTAATATTCAGGCTGGAATTCTAGGCGCCAATATTGATTGAATAGCCACATGCCTGTATACCTGATCTCGGAACTTGTGTTTTCCAGATGGGATGAATGTGATCTTGCATCTCTTGCTCTTCTCATGACCTTTGAGCTATCCTCTGAGGTTCCTATAAATTCCAGCTCAAAACTTCTCCTGTCCAGCCAACAGATGATTTTCAACCTTCTCTTTTATCACCCTCCGACGTTTCTGCCTTCTTAGTCTTCTTCTAAACCTGGAAAATGGGTTCCTCTGGATTCAATTGCAGTTTCCTAAAACTCCATTTTTTGTGAGAAAAAGGATTTTCATCAAATATTTACTATCTCCAACACCTTTGGTCAGACACCCCGCTATCCCCAACACCTTTGGTCAGGCGGTTTTCTCCTGAGGGTTTGCCCTCTTACTCGTTGCTTTGATAAGTCGGGCTTCACCATCATATCCAATGATGATCCTTATCGAGGGTCCTCTACCAAGCTCATCTTGGCCACACAACCCGATCACCTGCCTGACCAGGTTTTGTCATGAAGATACCAGAAACTAGTCGAGATACCAACACAATGTAGAAGGAAAGAAACATGACACATTGAGACTTGCTCCGATGTAATTTTATCAACTTGTCGAAATGAATGAAGCATCATTTTAACAACTTTTATCTTTCTGTCTTCTTGAATGGTTAATGAATACACTGCATTCCAACACCTGCTTTATTTCTCATCTTCTTCAATATAACAATCCCTAACATCCCATAATGTAGGGCAATACCTTTTTAAGAATTTGACATTGATGGGAAGTTTCTGCCAATTTCCTTCAAGATCAGCCAAGTAATATCCTTCCTTGTCTAATACTTGACTAACAATAAAATGACCTTCCCATGTCGGGCTCCATTTCCCAAAGCCCCTAAGCTGAGCTCCTGGAGGGAGGACCGCCTTCCATACTAAATCTCCTTCCTTGAAAGACTTCAGTTTTACCTTCTTGTTATAAGCTCAGGCAACAGCTCTCTTCCCTTCCTGAATCTGGTTCAAGGCCTCAATTCGGGTTACATCTAAATCTTCAATCCCCTGACACATAGCTTCTATGTATTCTTCACTATGTAACCCGAATTGATTTTGAATTCTGACAGAACTTACATTGATTTCCATGGGAAGAACCGCATCTTGCCCGAAATCAAAGCATAAGGAGTTATCCCCGTTCCTGCCCGTTTAGAGGTTCGGTATGCCCACAAAGTATTCCCTAGCTTTTCATGCCACTTTTTCGGGCTATCTGTTACCATCTTTTTGATAATGTTTATCAAAATCTTGTTGCTGGCTTCGGCTTGACCATTTGACTGAGAGTAGTAAGGACTAGACTGGATCATCTTTATTTTGTATTTGCTTGAAAATTCTTCAACTTCTTTTGATATAAAAGATGGCCCACGATCCGTGACTATGGTTTCGGGCACCCCAAACCTATGCAAAATCTTGGTCTCAATAAACTTCTTGACTGCAGCTGAAGTTATGGTCTTTACAGCTGATGATTCTACCCATTTGGTGAAATAATCCGTTGCCACAATTATGAAAGTATGCCCCTTGCTAGAAGATGGATAAATCTGTCCGATGAAGTCCATTGCCCATCCCTTAAAGGGCCAAGGTTTAACCACTGGATTTAAAAGTACTGAAGGCACATGTTGGAGAGGTCCATGCCTTTGACATTCCTCACATCCTCGGGTATAAGACTTGCAATCTTTTTCCACACCAGGCCAGAAATACCCATACATCCTAAACCACCTCATCTTCGTTCCAGCTTGATGTGCCCCACATATCCCTTCATGTACCTCGGCCATTACTCTCATAGATTCTTCTTGACCTAAACATTTCAGTAGAAGCCCATCCGGCGTTTTCCTTAGCAGGTTCTCCTCCCATAAGACGTACTTAGTTGCTTGTTGTCTATTCTTCTTGCTTGTGGGTGCAGAAGGATCTTTCAAATGATGAATGATAGGCGATCTCCAGTCTTCCGTCTCGGTTTCTAGGATCATTATATCTAGACTGAATCCTTTTTTTAAGATAGAAGAAAGATTTCTTCTTTGAACCTCGACATCTACTCCATACTTCCTTTCCTGGATTGGTACTCCCGAGGCTATTTGTGAGGCTATTTGTGCCATCTCGTTGGCCGCCAGATTAGATTCCCTGGGAACATAATTAACTGATACTTCAGAATCCCAATAGCTTAACAATTGTGTGGTCGCCAAGTAATACCCAGCCATGGTGATATGTCTGCACTTGTATTCTCCATTTAGCTGGTTTATCACTAATTTTGAATCACCAAATACCTCTACCTCCATTGCCCCCAACTCTATCAAGATCCCCAAGCCAATTATTAAGGCTTCATACTCCGCCTGATTGTTGGTATTCCCTTGGTAATCTAGAAGGAATGAATAATAATTGTGAACTCCTTGGGGATTTATGATGACAATCCCTGCTCCAGAAGCCTTCTGAGTGTAAGAACCATCAAAATAAAGCTTCCAAGGAGTAATCCAGAGACCAGTTACCCTTTTTATTTCTTGTTGGACTCATTCTTCCTTGCCCGAGATGCCCTTGCCTGGTGGGATCCAAACATTAATTACTTCCAGGATCCCTGGTACATTGATGATCTCATCTTGAGACTCTTGGTGCTCTGCTAAGAAGTCAGCAATTGCTTAGCCCTTGACCGCCCTTTGGGGTACATATTGAAAGCTGAACTCTGTTAATGCTAGAATCCACTTCCCAATCCTTCCTGTTAGCATTGGTTTTGACAACATATACTTTATCACATCTGTTTTGGCAATGATGTGCCTGTGACAAGGTAACATGTAATGCCTCAACTTACTAGCAGTGAAATATAGAGATAGGCACAACTTCTCTATAGGGGAGTACCTTGTTTTTACCTCAGTCAAAATTCTACTGAGGTAGTATACTGCCTGCTCTTTTCTGCCTTCATTGGTTTGAGCTAGTAAACTCTCGATTGATTTAT